AGTTGCACTGGCGCTTCACGGCCTTGCTCTTCTCGTCAAGTTGCTGCAAAATCCTGGGTAAGCGCGCCCAAACGAAAACATTTAAGCCATCCTGGATGGGCAACACAAAAGTCCTTAATGCGATAGAGAAGCCCCGGGCTCATACCGTTGACCTTCACCTCAGCCTGGATTCCTGCCAAGCCACCGTACAGCGAGCCCAGCTTCGCGACGCAATCCTCCATGCTGCTGACCGGATGTGGGGCTGGACGGTGTTGTATTTTAGTTTATGCTAAATTACCGCAACAGAAGTTCGAAGCACTTGCCTTGTCTTTCTTCATCTTGGTAATAAGTTTGTCCAGCTTGTTGCGGGTTGAGGTTGAGAGGGCCTTCCATCAGCTTAGCGGCGGCACCAGCACCCTGTAGGGAGATAGCAGGACAAGACCCCGACTCGAAGTAAACCCTAATTCGGCCGCTCCGAGGACAAGGTGGCTTAAGTTAACTGTTTCGTTTACCCGTGTTCACAAGAAGGCGAAACTCCGAAATCCAAGCCACTCGCTGGCTGCTGCCCGTGGACAGAGACGCCGTCAATCCTCCGAGCAATCTCCCAAAGGCCTGACAAAGCGTCTTTCTTGAAACCCGACCTCTTCCACATCTTGCAGATGGGCATATACAACGGAATTTGCTGCGAGTGGGCTCTGCTTGCTATTGTCGCATTGCGGCGGAACCTCTAATGACGAAAATATGCTATTTATGAACAGGTACCTGGCGAGGTATTGCAAGGGACGGAAAGTGAATCTGCACATGCAGAAGCTTAGTCTGGATCTTTTTGGCGCCAAAACACCCACCACATATGCGTGTGGTGGCTGGAACAAAGGACAGGATTCGGTGATTCTGATGGGCTTTGTGCTGTGGCTGCTCCGTGGCTTGCTTCTTTCTCGGTTTAGGGTTTACAATGGAGTGATAATTAGCCGACATAACTGTTCAGGCTTGCGGTTCTCCTGTTTAGCATGATTTCTTTTCCCGAAAACCCTAAGTGAGTCAACAGCATCCCCGTATTAAGCTCTTTCGAACCCTAAACGGCCCTTTATAAACCAATGTCAGTAAGCCCTCGAGAGAATAATTCCATCAAGGTACGCTTGGTCCTTCCACTTCGGAAGAGCCCTGGGCATACTAGGCTGAGGCTTCTATTTGTATGGAAAATGCTAAGCGCATACTTTACTCGGACGGGGCTTTCATGCCCAAGAGCTCTGCAATGGAAGCCGCTGAAGCCGGCTACAGATTTCTGCATTGTTACGCGAGCTTGGCGCGGCGGTCGAAGGAGCAGAAGAAGCTGCTCTTGAATTGGTACCCAAGCTCCATTCTCTCCACCAAATTCTGGAGGATTTGCGACCTGCTGCTGGAAATCGAAGGGTAGCGCTTGTGTACAATCCTGTCGGAAACTGCACCTCTCAATGCGAGGACTTCATAGGGCACATCGCCCGATTATCGCGCAGGGTTTCACCGAAAGTGCCTCATTCTCGCGTCTTGCGCAGGTATATGGCCGCCGTTGCCGAGAAGCTGGGTTTGCTACCGTCACTAGAATATTTTTATAGGTCTCAATTTCAAACCCTCAACTATAAGGCAATTATAATGCGCTAGCATCCCAAGGGCCGAGCCTGCTCGTGGCCAACTCGTGAGCAGCGCCGCAGGAGCAGTGGAAACGGCATTCAGCGGCTTTTGATGGGCTTTCGGGGGAAATTCTGGAAGGTTTCATGGGATATTCGGGCGGAATAGACAACTCAATTGCAAGATTTGGCTTGCAGGATTTGGGTCATTTAACTTCTTCTGGGAACCTTGCTTGAGGCCTGCAGCATGCAAAGGGCGTAAGAAAGCAGGGCCAAACCGCAGGGGCAGCAAAAAACGCAGGGGCGTAAAACGGGGTTACCCAGGTACAGGCAGGTCTTCGCTAGTTCGACTCACTACGGGGCGAAGCAGATCAAAGTCGAGGGTGCTGGTGTTCTGCAGCGCTGAGGCCATGTCAGAACGGGCCTTTCGCTCTTCTGGGGGCTGCTCATCCAGCAGAATGCCACAAAATTTGCATTTCACTCTGCTCGTTTTCCTACTGGGTCCAGTCCGTTCCGTGGCGGTTTGCAGCATGTGGATGGGTCAGCTACCTGCTTCTCCTTCTTGGTCTTGGTAACCGTACCACACTTCTTGCAAGTCCGCATATCGATGCATGCGTTGCTACCAGACTTAGTGAACTCCTTGCAACCTCTTCTGCACGGGGCCTGGAAGAGGGAGCTCGCTCCAGACGTCTTTCTGTCCCCACAACACATATCCGAGGTATGTGCACAACACCCGCTCGTAAGTCAAGCCTTTGTGCTGTCCAAATCGGAAGATGGTATCGCTACCAGGTGGGGGACTGTCAAGCATTATGGCGGATGCTAGAGTGCTAGAGGTACTCCACTTCAGAGCCATGAAACCATGCGAATCCGAACAGGAATTGCGGAGGTAAACGACCTCTTCGTCTGAGTCATCAAGGGCCAAAAATCTCTGTGGCTTAGGGTTCTGGGGCTTAGCTGTCCCTCCGGTCGGTGCCGGGTCACCGCAGGCCACGGGGCCACGGGGCAGACGTGAAACGGCATCTGTGTCGCCAGCCCAGGTGACCGACCACTCCGCATTGTAAGCAGCGGCTCTTAGCTTTAAGCTCGGGAAGCTGATCGGCAATCGACAAGTTAGATCAGTTAGATCTATTAACATTGCTTCCAGGCTTTCCTTTGTCTTTTCCTTTTCCCTTGGCTTTGCCCTTGGCCTGGCCAAGGGTATTCGTAGCTATATGTGCCAGCTGCACGGCCTCAGCATACTCCTCGCCGAGGGTCGTGTCCTCCTCGAGCTCCGAGGCGACCGCCGCATAGGCGTTGAGTTGCATTGCGACGTCTTTGTCGTCAAGCCATACCTCTTCGTCCTCGGCCGAACCTGCTGGCATTACTGCTGCGTACGCGTGGTGTTCATCCTCAGGTGGTAAGCCCTGGTCTGCTCCCTCGACGTCGTCTGCACCGTAGCCATTGCCAATGTACCCATACTTCGGGGCAGTGTTCTGCTGTCGTGCTACCCAGGGTCTTTACCCCGGTCCATTGGAAATGAGATGTCGGTCTTTCATGTGCACCACGGACTGATGCTGCACAAGCACTCTGGCGTATTCCTCTACCGTGTGCGCGGGGCGCAGTCTTGATCATGAGTTGCTCTCGTCGGCTTAAGCCAGACAGTTCGACAAGTAGATTTGCCTTCATCGCTTCTGACAGCCTAATGTCGGGATCCAGCTCAGGAAGGGTGGACCACCACCTCTTTCGGCGGGCGGTGTACGAGAGCATGGGCTCGCCCTGCTGCTTAAGCCTCCTCCGACTGGAGGAGAAAAGCCTGTTGACGAATCTGCTCAATCAGGTGGTCTATGCCATCCGGCAGAAACAGTCGCTGCAAGCCAATGTCCCTAGCAATGCTGATGGCATCCCCTCATGGAGACTTTCAAGTATTTTCGAGATGCATTCTGACATATCTATGTCGGCATCGTCCACGTCTGCTAGGGTCGGCACCACGGGCTCAGTGTTCGCCCGGCCTTCGTCGTCGCAATCGCCATCTATCAGGCTGGGATGGCTCGGCACCGACTTTGCGTCCTCGTCTTCACCAACAGACGCAAGCCTCGCTCGCCTGGCACCGGACGGGCTGGGTATGCCGCTAGACTCTCCCTCGGTGGGGAGGTCTGTCCATGCAGCATTCCGCTCCTATCTTAGCCTGGGTTATGGATGCCCTTGCCTAGGCCTTTGCCAAACCGCTTCACCGCCGACTGGCTCCTGGCGAATGCTGCACCACGCATATCCTTCACGACCTCTCGCCTCTGTTTTTCCTTGTGTTGCAACACGCGTATCCGTGTTCTAAACTCCCAGTCGTGATGGGCTGAGGCGGTGCCCGTATAGATATACGATCCGGACTTTATCCCTGCTGGGGCTGCGTTGTGAAAGTTGTGATCCGATTGGGTCGCCTAATACTTCAACCCAGCAATAACGCTCATGGGCTCGTTCCAAACTACCATGGACAAGCTACGGGCTCTACTCTACAACAAACAGCACTGCGATCCGCTGGCTCCGCTACCAACTTGAGACGGATGCCAGCTAGCGGAGTCAACAGCACGAACGGACTAGCCGCTTTTGATGCTTGTGCTCAAGACTTTTGCGGTAGGTGCATTTCGTCAGGACCCTAAATTTGCAGGCACTCTAGATATTCTATACAAAGCACTGCATATCAGGGTTCCTAACATGTGAACGTCAGCACGGCTCCCTAAATCGAGGTCTGACAAGGCATTTTCACAAGTGTTATCACCCCCCGAAACTATCACCCCGACATCCCAAACCCCCGAACCCTAAACCGAAACCAAAAAAATCAAGAACTCAAGCCCTGGCAAGCCTGAAAGCTGGTGCCCAGAGTGGGAGAGTAATGTTCCTTCTGACTGCGGAGGGTAAATGTAAATTTTAAGGGTACGTGCTAGGCCTACGAGGCCGACCGAGGCCGCAGGTATAGCTAGCTGCATAAACCTGAACCCAAAGTCCATCAGCACAGTTTCTTCCAACCTCCAGAACCTTGTACCTGGTTTCATAAACTTCATAAATCCATACAGCATCATAGAACTGGGAAATCGCCCTGACTGTGAAGTCCACAGCAAACTCCACCGTCGCAACTGCGCTGGTTGCCAAAAGATGCCGATTTGCTTTTGTTTGTATTGGCTGCTACTCAACTGGTCTGATTGTGTTTGATAGACCTTGGTCTGGGCTGATCTGACTGTTGTGATCTATAATCTTAGGCTCGGAGCTTGTGGCCTGAAATTCGGCAGGCCCCGAAGGTCCAGGTACATTCCGCTTAACCCCCTGGGGGCCCGCAGGTAGGACCCTGAAAACAAGTAGGTGAGACAAGTAGAAAAAACATCATCTTCGCAAAAAAAATCACAATAGTTGTAAAGCAAGACTATTCCTTGCACGGAATCCTGGAGGGACCTGAACCTGGCAAAGCTCGTCGACGTAGGTCGCCAATTCATGCCCCATCGTGGATTCCTAGGGCTATGCGCTAAGGGCCAAATAGTAACGCTGTACAAGCTTCGAACATGCAGCATCAGCGCGGGGGAGACCTTTGCAGGGGGGGGAGAATTCGTGCAGGCATATTTCTACGCCTGTGATCTAAGTGATCTAGGGCCTGCATTGTCTATACTTGCGACAAGAAACAGGGCGATAGGACATCATCTGATTTGAGCTTCGCGCAAGCTTGGCGCTTTTGCATCTTACAGGATGGTGCCCTACATCGTGGACCAAGCAGTTGGGAGTGCAGGGTCCACTTTCTGCAACCTGGTGCAAAGAGCCGCAAGAGTATGGGTGCTTGGCTCAAAAGCATATGTTCCATGTAGATTCCTCCAGCATATCCTAGGTTGACCTGGAGGAACCCCGCTTTGTTGTTACTCAAAGTGGAATGTTGACGGGCTTGCCGACTTTGACACCGTAACGCCTCGCCACTACGATGGACTTTGGACCGTGCCGTGACTTTGGCCCCGGGACCCAAGCTTAGGCATGCTTTCACCGGTATCGCCTCTGTAACCTCTTGCCAGCATCTGCTATACTCTAAACCTTCCCAGAGCATGGCTCGGACATTCACTAGTCACTATGTAGTCTTTGCATCCCCATCGGATGTATAAGCAAGTAATGATTCTGTCCCACCTGCGGTAAGCACGCAGATGCAGTAACCACGACTTATTAACAGCCTTCGGAAACCTGAAACTTCCTTCGCCTGAGTACCCTGGCCTCCCCAATAATCAATACTCCCGATCCAGTAGCACTATGTATACTCTATGCTGCTTAGGCAGGTGCGGGGCGTTTTTGGCTAGGCCAGACAACACAATGAATCAGCAACAAAAACCTACCAAGCGCCTGCAGCAACTGAACAAGAGAGTTGCCATCTGATTACACTGGAGTGTAATGTTAGCGAAACCTTGTTTGCATGGGTCCGCAGCCCGAGATTCCATCGTGGATACCTCGCTGTCGCTCTTCAATATTGCAAGCTCCTCCTTCACAAGCGCTGCCGCTTCTTCGCCCTTACCACACCTCAGATACGTTCAAGAAGCTCCAGGCTATTTTGCCCCCAAAATCCGCGCAGAACAAGCCGAGAAACATCTCGGCCATCATCTTCATCTTTTTCGCAAATTCCTCCACGGCTTCCTGGCTCAAGCTACCCTCCGGATTTCTGTAACCCCCGGTATATCCCTCTGGTCGTCCTTGCAAGTACCTTTCGCAGAAGCCCTCATCACCCTTAAGCCTTAAAGGCATACGCCACCCCCAGTCAGGGACCACGAGGGCAGGATCCAGGGTAATCCTCTGTAGCCGTACTCTTTGGACATGGAGGCAGTTATCATGGTAGTAATACGCAAATGACGTCACAGTCTTGCCGAAAAAGCGCAACAAGTCAGCATGAATACAACCATGGTGGAACGTCTTGCAAAGCCAAAGATCACATGACGTATACGGGATGAACACTTTTCATCCCAGTGCGACCACCAGCCTTTGCTACACAAGGTACAAGGGACCCTAACCTCTAAGCCCCTACATCCCAAACCCCAACAGCTCCTTTGGTTTTGAGTGCCCAAATCTTATTGGAGATGCCGTCAGGTTCCAGAAGCCCCGGCCTGGTTCAAATGGGAGCCCGACAAGGTCTCGCGGATCGACGCTTCAAACTCTCGGTGCGCGATCTCCTAGCAGGTATGACAGCTGACTTCTCTGACAGCTGACTTCTCCTCTGCCAAAGCTCCAAACCCTAAACCCAAGGCCCTCATGCCAAGTCTTGAACACCTGAAGCGTGTGGTGGATCCTCTGCAGCTTGTCGACCCGCCATCTTCACAGCCTCCACGACGGCCTCGTCGTCATTCCATTGGGTGCCGAACTCTTTGAGGCTTATCTGCACAGAGCCGACTTATAGTGGTTGAGGGTGTAGGCGATTTATAGGGTTCAGGAAAAAGGGATCCCCTTCATAATCGGAAGAAGAACCCTAAATCCTAAATCGGCTTTGTTCAAATGTGCTTGGTGACGCTGGTTATGTGTGCCTTTCCAAGGCTCAGGAGGCTTGTCTTGTAGCTTGCAATGCAGGGGTTGCCTCAAAATTTTGAGGTCCGGACAGGCACCCACAAACCCTAAACCCATAAAGCCTGAACCCATGCACCCTAAACCCTACACACATGAAATCCCATGAGCCACAAACCCTAAACCCATACACCCTGCATGTCTGAACCCGACCTTGGCCCGGATCAGCCGCATCACGACTTCTGCTGTGCGCACCTCTGCGGGCCCAAAGAGGAACCACGGGACAGGAAGAACCGCTTAGGGTTAAGGTTTAGAGGTTAGGCTAATGTTCAGCTTGAATGAGGAAATGAACCTGGGCCCCAATTCCAACAGTCCGGTCCTTGTTGAGTCGCTCCAGCTTCCAGTCGTCCGTCTCTGCATCCACCATTCCTGGGTTGCTACGGAAGTTCGCTTCGGTTTAGGGGTTTAGAGGGTCAAGGATGCTTAGCTTCTAGGGTTCGGGGTGTTTGGTGTTTGGGGTTTAGGGCTTACAGGGGTTTTGGGCTTAGGGTTTCTATGGGTTACATCGATGAAAAATCAAAGTTAATGTAAACCACCCAGATTCGCTGCGCTAAACAGTGATCGACGGCGGAAATGATCTCGGAAGCCTCACGCAGGACCGTCGCAGGAAAAGCAATCAACCTTTATTCAGAACATTTACCAGGTGAGATCTCTCCAGATCATTGACCTGCTGGTTGGGATCGTTATCGAACGGATCCTACTCCCCTTTTGAAGTTGTTAATGTCATGGCGATTTTTGCATGACCTGAACTGTGGATCGTGGGCACGAGTTTTTTTAGTCTTTTTGAGGTCGTTGCAGGGACTTGCTCTTTTTTTGCTGTCGTTGCGGGGGCGCCTTTTTTTTGGCTGTCGTGCCGGAGGCCGGGGTTCACTCACTCGATGACAAAAACATAACGACAGCAAAAACAAAACACGGGTTCCG